CAGACACCGGGGCATGGGCGGAAGCCCTGCTGGCATGGCTGGGCTCCCACTCACTGAGTCAGCCGGCCTGCTGCGCGGTGGGCCCCTGGGGAGTGGCCAGACACGAGGGAGAGGAGGGCTGGCCGGCCCCTGCGGTCGCCCCAGCCATGTGCTTCCCGTTAGCCGCCCACACCCTGGGGAGGGGTGGCCGCAGGGCTCTCGCTCCCTCGCTCCCTCACGTGTCTTGGCCTTGTGTCAGCACTGCCGCTCGGCTGTGGTATGGGGAGAAGGCCAGGACGGGGAGAGCACGGGGTGGGTACGAGGGGCGGAGGAGGGAGAGCTCTGAAGCCAGAGGAGAGCAGGGGACACTGTGAAGTGTGGTGGGGAGGCGGCGGCAGGGGACACGTAGGGGGGAGAGGAGGTGGGAGAGCGTGGGAGCCAAGGAGGAGGGCAGCCTGTGGGATCCAGAGAGGCATGGCCTACAGGGGGCTCTTGGGAGGTGCTGGGACCCCCAGTCTCCCCAAGCTCTTGCAGCTTCACTCTCCAAATCGCTCCCTCCAGCGGCGTCCCCGCACAGCCTTCAGCACCCCACCCTTAGCCGTACAGGGCCCAGAGTCCCTGCCTGCTGGTAAGCCTGGCTGACCACATTCCCGGGGCTGCATCCCCAACCATGCCCAGGCCTAGCCCAGGGAGCCCCTTAAGTCTGTGTTGTCGAGTGGACGCTGCACAGTGACCAGGGAAGTTGCCCACGTCACGTACCTGGACACTGAGGCAATCAAAGAGGCGCCACGGGACCGAATCTGGCTGCCTCTCATCGTCATGCTGTCCCCCTACCCAAGGCCCACAGGTGGGGGCTGTCATTACCCTCAGGCCTTGGGCTCTGGGCAGGTGGCTTTGGCTGCACTGAGGGTGGGGATGAATTCAGGAGTGTGCATGTCCAGGCCCAGTTGGCCATGCCGGAGACCCTGCTTGGACTCTATCCTGGGGCTCGCCTGCTGGGCCAGCCAGGCCAGAGGACCCTGGGCTCGTCCCTCACCTCGATGATGTAATCCCGGCCGTCCTTGCTGTGGACGGCTTTGACGGCGCAGATGTCCAGGCCGCCGAACATCTCCGCACAACTGTCCACCCACAGCCTGTACCTGCAGACAGACAGACAGTGAGACCGGAAGAGGGAGCAGAGCAGAGGGGAGTGAGATGGAGAGACATGGAGAGACATGGAGAGGCAGAGTGACTCACGCAGAAACTCGGGCAGTCAGATGGGATAGACAGACAGAGTTAGAGTCAGCAATAGACTGAGGGAGAGACAGAGGCAGAGATGCAGAGAGTAAGTGGGAGACAGGAGAGAGGCAGGGACAGTGGTGGACAGCGAGAGAGAGACAAAGACCAACAGAGAGTCTGGAAGGAGAGACCTCAGAGGTCCACGGCCCTGCCTCCACCCCCAGGACTTTGCAGGGTCCACACTGGGGTTGGGTGCTTGGCCTGCTCCCACCCAGAGCCTTCCCGGACACCTCATCCCTGCAGTCCTTTTCCCTCGGGAAGCTGCTTGAAGGGCTCCAGAAATCCCTCCCAGGCCTCCTCCTAGCTCCAGAGCCCCCCACCAGACAGGAATCCATGGCAGACAAAGGGCCATTCTCCCTGAGCCTGGGGGCGCAGTGGAGCCTGGCAGGCTGTTCTCACAGGCCCTGAGGGCCTGGCCCTCTGGACCTGCTGCTTTTGTTCCCTTTCCAGCCACCCGATGGCTGCAAGGCCAGTTTGCTTTGCTGGGGACAGATCTCCACACTGGACTTGACCCTGCAACAAGGGGTTGGTTGTGTCGGGACAGCGCTTCCCGGCTTGCACTTGGTTTCCCTGTGGGCTGGATCTGCGGGTCACAGGGGACTCTGTGTCCGTGTTCTTGCTTCTCTCCTGACTCCCAGGGTCACACAGGGCATGCCTGCTCTCAGATCTATTTGTGTCTCTGAGCCATGAAGCCTGGAATGAGGAGGGATCGGGGTCCAAGTGCTGCTAGAACGACCTCACTTATCTTCCCCTCTCAGGCCCCCTGAGGCCCAGAGGAGAGAGGGGCTTGCCCAGGTCACACAGCAAGGCTGTCTCCTAGTTCCGGTCTCTCACGCACCTGTAGCAAGGAGCAGGTGGGATGACAGGAGTGAAAGGAAGGGCGAACACTCAGCCCACAGAGCTCCTACTGCGTGCCTGGGGATAGATCTCGGTTCTCTCCAGTCCCACAACGCCATCAGGAAGGTTTCAACCCATTTTACTGATGAAGAAATGGGCTCAGAGAGATTAATAAATGGCCGTGTGGCTCCCAAACCCGGATCCTGTTTGATCCCTGCCTCCGTGCTGGCCACCCTTCCCTTCCTTCTGGACATATCTCATGGCCCTGCTGTTCTCGCTCAGCATGGGCGATCAGGGACCTGGATTCTTAGTTATTTATTTTAAAAGAATTATTTATTTAATTTCATTTATTAATTCTTTTTTTTTTTTTTTTTTAAGAGAGGTTTTTGCTATAGGGTGCATGCGCTCGCCAGAAGGAGAGAGGAGAGACAGAAAGCGAGAAATCACCCCCCTGAGGGGATGGCCACGCCGCAATCCTTCTTCATTCTCTCAGGATCTTGGGCACGCACGCACATGTGGCCAGTGTGAGTTTAAGTGACCAGGTCCGGGACTCCAACCGTGGTCAACTATGTGGGAAGCCAGTGACGTAACCATTATTCCATCTGCTGGTCCCTCATTCATTTATTTTAATTTGACCAGAGAGAGACAGAGAGAGAGAAAGAAAGTGAGAAAGTAAGCTAGGACTCGAACTGAGGTTGACCATGTGGGAGTGTCTTAACAACCAAGCCACCTGCTGGCCCCTGCCTGGATTCTTATTAGTTCCTCAGTGACTTGGGGAGCCTCTCTCTCTCACAGCCTTAGTTTCCTTATCTGTAAAACAGGAAGGCCTAGATCTGATTCTAATTGCGCATGGGAATTACCAGGAGAGTTCAACACATAGGCAAAAAGCCAGATGTGGGGACCCCAGCCTATGTAGGAATAAGAGGTTTTCTTTCTGCTGGACTTGACACTGTGCGGAGGTAAGCCCATGGCCACCATGGTCACCATATGAGAGAACCTACTGGAATGAAGCTGCCACTAAAAAGGCTGAGCCGAGTGGGGAGAGCAGGAGCCCTACCACCTCATCTGATTCTGTGCCTGTTGCGTTTTCAGTGACATGAGCTGCTAAATTCCCTTTTTGCACAAACGAATTGATCTGTGTTCTGACATTTTCAAGTGAGCCACAGTCTTGGAGGACTGGCTCTTTTCATCCATACTGCTCGGCACAACATGGTATGAAGTTCGTGCTCAATAGGAAACAGAACTTGCTTTTTTTGTTTAAAGAGAGTTTTTTTTTTTAAACCTTTTTTTATATATTGGGCATGTGCACTCACTGGAGAGACAGAGAGAGAGGCAGAGAGACACAAAGTGAGAAATCAACCCCCAGGAGGGATGCCACACTGTAATCCCATCTCAGTTCTCCTCTCGGGATTTTGGGCACGCACACACGCGTCCAGCGTGAGGTTTAAGCCACCGGGTCAGGGACTTGAACCGCAGTTGACTATGTGGGAGTCCAGTGATATAATCACCGCACCATCAGCTAGTGCCCGAAAAGAACTTTCAGACCCCAGAGCCCATGCTCCATCTGTTCCTACTGCGTGCTTGCAAGAGTGGTCACTGAGCACGCAGGAAAGACTGTGTGTATGCGGCTGGCCCTGGGGGCAGGTGATCAGGCCCTTCTTCACTTGAGGCTGACACACGGCAGTGTTTGAGGGAGAAAGACGGGGGGACTGCCAGCCCTCACACTCGTGATTCACAGGATAGTGACCTCTGCCTGTTTAAGCTGAGCTGGAGGTAAATCTGAAGGGGAGTGGGCTCCCCAGTACCTCTGGCGCCCTAGTAAGAAAGCTTCCTTGCAGCCGCCAGAGCACAGCGGGACTGCTGAGACTCCCTGCTCTCTTCCAGAAGCAGCTGGGCAGGGCCAGAAAGACCCCCTAGACTTGGAGTTCAGACACCAGGCACCTACTCCAGTTCTGCTGTTAATCGGCTCTGTGACCCTAGACAAATCACTTCCCTTCTCTGAATTTTTTTCTCCCGTCTGTAAAATGGGGCTATTTCAACACCTGCCCTGTAGGCTGCCATGGGCAGTGAAGGAGATCACGCTAGCAAAGTGCTTAGAGGGTGACGGGGTGAGTGGCCTTCCTCATGAGTTTCCTGTTGAATCCTTCCTGCAGCACCCCCCCTGGCTGGTGCCTCTTCCTGCGTCTCCTTTGCCTCTTACCTCTCAGTCATGGCCACCTGCTCCAACATAGCAGAGCCTGTATTGGCCTTCCAGTTTCCAGAGATGGAGGTTCTCCTGCATCAGAACAAATAACAGGGTGAGGGGGTGTGGGACCGCTGCCCCTGGAGTGCTTCCTCTCGTTGCTTTGGCTGTTAGGACCCTGGTTCACATGTATTCCTAGGTACACACCCTTGTCTTCGGCTTTACTTTCCAGCATTCATTTCTCCTCATACTGACTGCATTATTTGTTTGTTGGTTCTTATATGTTGTTTTCTAAGATATCTTTCAAATGAAAAGATTAAATTGGATTCATTTATTTTAATTACCAGAGGGCATGTGTCCTTGTCTCACACACACACACACACACACACACACAGAGAGAGAGAGAGAGAGAGAGAGAGAGAGAGATAGAGAGATAGAAAGCACTCCTTGATGGAGTGACGTCATGGCACAACTCCTTCTCCATCTTTTCCTATTGCTGGGATTTTGGGCATGCATGCGCACACACTCAGTGTATTTTTCAAGCTGCCAGGGCCAGGATTTGAACCAGGGTCAGCTATGTAGGATTTGCTGCCCTTAGCCTATGGGGTTATTCCTGAAGATTAAGTTTTGAAAATGCCTACACTACTGGATGAAATCCCACCAGTCTTGGCATCCTGTATTTAAGAACCAGGGCAGTGTGGCTCTTGGTAGTTCTGGAATTTTTTGAGGGCCCTAAAAATGTAAGAAAATGACCCCTAGAGAGAAGTGATTGCTTTTCTATGAGAAAGAGCAGGAAGGCCTCCTGCTTCAGCCTGCCTCGCCCCGTTTCTCTGTCCCCTTGCATTCTCCACTCTGGCAACAACTGACCTCTCTCCCAGTGCTCTGCTGCCATGGCTCCTTCTCTATGCCATGGCCCCCACCTGCGTTCTTCTCTTGGCCTCTTAGTCTTTGTCTCTGTCTTGGCCTGTCAGTCCTACTGACTCCTCGGGTTTCATCTGGAATGAACTTCCCGATGTCCAGCTTCCCCGATAATAGGAGACCTCCCTGCACCACATCCTGCGCTGATGTCCGGAAATGCTCACCTCCTTACAGTGACTGCTTTAGGGCCTTTCTTCCCAGGTAGAGGGAAAGCTCTGAGTTCAAGGGACATGTGTGACTTCATTCTCTGGACGCTTAGCGATGTGGCCTGTAGTAGGTGCCCAGCTGGGGAAGAATGCGGACAGACGATTTCCCAGCAATGGCACGTCTGGACTCAGCGAAGACTGAATGAGTTCAAGCAAAATGGCAAAGAGAAAGCAGTTTTTCTTCTGGGCAAGGAATGGTATGTGCTTGGGATCAGAAGGTGAACTGGAGAGAGGAGTTCGCATAATAATATTATGTCTTTTTTTTTTTGAGAGATTTTTGCTATAGGATGTGTATGCTTGCCAGAAATGCAGAAAGAGACAGAGAGATAGAAAGTGAGAAATCACCTCCCCCCCAGGAGAATTGGTCATGCCACAATCCCTTGTCCTCCATTCTCTTCTTGGTATTTTTTTGGGCATGCTCACACATATGCCTAGTGCTAGTTTCAAGCTGCCAGGTCTGGGACTTGAACCACGGTTGGCCATGTGGGAATTCAGTCAGCTGCTGGTCCAAAATTAATATTTCCTTTTAAAAGAGAACAATCAGAAATGTAAATGCTGGGGATAGGTAGTGGCCATAGAAGCCACCGTTGGTGGCACTGAGAAGCTCTATGTCAGTTATGCTTAGTTCAGCTCAATTCAATTCAGTCCAGCTCCATTTGGCTCCCACTTCTGGGGCCACCATATAGCTTGGGTACTGGGCTAGTCTGAGTGTGTGGATGACTATCCCCACCCCCTAGGCCATTCACTCCCTAGGAAAAAACTGGATGGGTCTGGAAGAGTCAACCATGTACTTGAGGACCAAAGAGCTCTGGGCAGACAAAGGAGAAACCAGGGTGACTTGATTTGACCCCAGAAGGTTGCCATTGAAATGTGCCTTGGAGGATGAGTGGTAGTGTGGGATCTGCGTGGAGGTAAGAGAAGTTAAGAACTGACTTGAATCAGACAAATGTGAGTTTGAATCCTGGTTTCAGCATTTTTTAGTTGTGTAACCATGGGCAACAGCTCTGAGTCTTTACTTCCTTATCAGTAAAGTGGGAATAATTACAGTACCATCCCAATGGGATATTGTGTGGATTGAAGGAAATATTCTCATAAATCTCTTAGCACAGTGGATGCAATGATTATTCTCAGTAAGTGGAGGCAAGAAAAGAAGTCATTGCAAGGGCAGAAGCAGCAGGGACACAGCCAGACTGCCTTCCTTCCATGAGGACAGTGATAGTGAGGACTAGTATTTGATGAGTGTGTTCTATGTCTGAGACATGGGTCTAAACGCTTTATGAGTACTGGCCCATTTCAGCCTCAAAAACCGAAAGAGATGGGCATTATTATCTTTGTTCCCGCTTAGTGGCAGAAGCCGTCATATTTTACAAACTTTGTGGTCTTGAACATGACTCTCCATGGCAGAGCCCATGAGCTCATGTCAGGCATGGGGAGAGGGACTGGCTGTTCTGTGCAGGAGAGAATGTAGACTGTGACAAAAGTATGTAAGTATCAAGTGGTCTTAGTCCATCCAGATTGTTATAACAAAATACCATAAACAGGCATAGGAATTTATTTTTCACAGTTCTGGAGGCTGGGAAGTCCAAGGTCAAGGTGATTTAGTGGCGAGGGCTCACTTTCTGGCTCCTAGATGGCACCTTCTAGCTGTGTCTTCACATCATGGGAGGGGCAGAGTGCTTGTTCTTGAAGCTCTTTTATAAGGGTACTAATCCCATGAGGGCGCCACCCTTGTGGTCTATTTCCCTCCTAAAGACTCTACCCTCCTAAGACCATTACTTTGGGGTTAGGATTTCAACATATAAACTTTGTGGGGACAAAAGCATTCAGACCTTAGTACAAGTGTATGACAAGCTCATTGAACAGTCTTTGGACTTAAGTCACTCTGGGCACGAGCAGAGCCTCTGTAACTAATGCTAAAAGAAACTGTCCCTAGGCACTGTGTGCAGCTAGTGAGGTTGTCTCCCATGGAACTTCGGGTTAACAGTTCTGAAACCATACAGATATACTGGGATTGAACACATCCATAGAGGATGGCAGACGGTGGGAGCTAGGTCCTTCTCTGTGGGAGTGTGAGGTTATAGATAAGCCATCAGGGAAGGCTGACATGAGCTACATGGTACTAGATGAAAGCTGGAGACATCAGTATGACTCTGGGTGACTTACTGTAGACATGGACGGATATGTACAGAGGAAGTTACGGATTATGTGAATATGTGGGCAAGGAAATACACATGTATATTTCCTCATTGTGTCTCCTGTGACCTAGAAAAAATGTCGTCTTAGCTGCAACAAGAACAAAGGCTGAGTGCAGCAGGACGTGGGCCAGAGAGGAGGTTGAGTGGGCAGGGGCAGGGAGGACATTCGACACTGAGGTCTGACACGCACCCCCTCCCTTGGATGTGGGCCAAGCCAGGGTCCAGGAAACTTCAGAGCTAATGACAAATTGGAGCTGTCAGGCTGGAGAGGCTCAGCATAAAGAATGCTTCAATGAGGTAATCTACAAGAAAAGAAACTGGGACAAGGTGTCGTCAATGTCAAGTGGAAACTAACAATGAAGAGAGGAGGGAAATGATATCATGACGGATGGACTGACGGAGTACTCTGGATTGCTGTGCTGGAATGGGGTAGAACTCAGAGGGGCAGGGAGAAGGTGATTGTATCACGCTGAGGGCATCTAAGAACAGCCGTAACTCTGGCCTGGCTCATAGGGGAAAGAGGGTGATTGATGAGATGGGGCAGAACCATTCCTTGAGAACTAGCTCCATCCCTTTCCTGGGAATCTTCTTTCCTTCTAGGTATACTGCCCGTATCTCCTCCAGTTTCTCAGGCTATAGTGGAATCCAGCAGTTGCAACAGAAACTGTACAGCTGCAAAGCCTAAAATAACCACCTGGCCCTTTACAGAAAAAGCTCGCGGACCTCTGGACTAGGCAATTCAGGTAGCGCAAAAGCAACCGCGTAGGCAATACATAAATGCATGTGCCTGGCTGTGGTCAACAAAACTTCATTACAGAAACAGGTGGCAGCTGGATTTGGCCTGTGGACCAGGGTTTGCTGACCCTACTCTAGTGCACAGGCTATACTGCACAGAAGCACATTGACAAAGAGGTTTCCAAATGACCAGGGTCGCCTGTTCCATCCATGCACATGGCCAGTGCTCTATAAATGCTTGGCAACCAGGCAATGGTTGATTCTCTGGGGTCTCATAATTTTAGATGGAACCAACAACAACATTCCAAAGTGAAAGAGGCTTTGGAGCAGATAAGACCTCTCCAAAGAACAAGACCTTCAGCTTATTCCAGTACTCCCACTCATCCATACAACCCAGCCCAGAGTAATCCAGCTGTTATGGTTTGAATTATGGTCTGACCCCCAAAGTTTCATGTTTTGGAATCTGATGTTGGGAGGTGGTGAGTTTTTGTGGGTGGTGATTGGTTCACAGTGATTGCATCACTCTTATGAATAGATTAACAATATCTCTTGAGACTCAGTGAGTTTCAGATCTTGTGAGAAGAGGTTAGTTCTTGTGAGAACTGGTTGCTATAAAAGGGAGAGAGAACAAGCTCTTGGCTCTCTCTGCGTGCACCTGCCAACCTCTGTGCTTCCATTGATGATGCTAGGCTTAGGCCTTTGGATTTTGCAGCCACCAGAATTGTGAGTTTGTAAATAAACCTCTCTCTTCTTTATAAACTCACCGATCCTCTGATATTTGTTAGCAATGCAGAAATGGACTAAGACAACAGCCTTTGCTCGAACCACCTCTGGGATGAAGGACTATTACTCTTTTAGATCTAGCACCTCTATTTGTACCGGTGAATGCCCTGTCTATAATACATGCCTATGAGATGGGACTCCCCATACTGGTTTTCTGCCTTCCCCTACCCAATAAGCATGTGACCATGGAATCACATTCTTTTTGTTTTTTATAGATTTTTCCTATAGGGTGCGCGTTCGCCAGACAGAGATTGACAGAAAGACAGGAAGAGAGAAATCACCCTCCAGGGGGATGGTCACACTGCAATCCCTTCTTATCCAGTCTCCTCTCGGGATTTTGGGCACACATGCACACGTGTCCAGCGTGAATTTTAGGTCCCTTGGTCCGGGACTCGAACTGCGGTTGACTACATGGGAGTCCAGTGATGTAACCATTACACCATCTGCTGGTCCCTGGAATCACAATCTTGAGTTAAGCATTGAAAATGGTGAGGGCGGGACCAGCAGGTGGTGTGGTGCTTAAGGCACTGACTCCCATGTGGTTGACTGTGGTTAGAGTCCCAGACCTGTTGGTTTGCTTTCTCACTTTCTCTCTCTCTCTGTCTCTGGTCAAATTTTAAAAAAAATACAGTTAGACATATAATTCTTTTTTAAAAAAGAAAGAAAATGATGAGGGCAGGTTCCTTTCCTGGTGAACGTGCCATGAGGAATGTTTATTATTTCTAACTATCACATTCCTGGGGCTTCCCTGGATCCTAATATTTCTGAAATGGATAACTTAATGGGAATCTGGCTTATTTTTAAAAAGTTTCTGATCACCCGTGAATGTCTAATAAATTCCCATGAAAAAAACCCCAAACATTAAATTAGCCCAGTGTGATGTCTGCTGCTCGCAGTCACAGAGAGCTGGTGGAACTCTAACTGGTCTCATTGGTTCCACAGGCACCTCTTTGGGATCCAGAGCACCACGGTCATCTTTTTGTACATTCAGACCAGGCAATGTCACCTCTTTATTTTAAAAAAAGTTTAAATAATTATTTATTTAATTATATTTATTATTATTATTTTAAAATTTGCTATAGGGCACATGTGCTTGAGAGAGAGAGTAAGAGAGAGAAAATGAGAAAGCAAGCTGCCAAGTTTGGGACTCTGCTGTGGTTGGCCATGTGGGAGTCCAGGGCCTTAATCACTACACCACCTGCTGGACCCCCAATGCCACTTCACTGCTCAGAAGAAAACAGAAGATTCAAACCCTCAGTGAGGCATGTGAAGCCCTCCTCGAGTCATCCCTGTGTTTCTCTTTCAGCCCTGACTCCTCAGACACGCATTGCGTATGTACTGGTGGTTCCCGAACAGCCAAGCATCTTTCTTCTCTGGGCAAACAGCCTTGTCTGTCTCTTCCCCAGGATGAGTTGTGCTGGACACCTGCCCCTCAGCTGACCGGGGAAGGGTGGAGAGGAGACCATGATGTGCTGAGGCCAGGGCACCTCTAATCTCCTTCCACCCGCCATCCCTCCCAGCCCCCAGCCTGGCCCGGGGACTCACATGTAAGCCTTGTAGTTGGACCCGATTTTCTGGATGCGGATGTCATACTTGGAGTCGATGAAGGCCTCGGTGGTGGCGTAGGTTTTGGCCATGGCCACCACGCTGGTGATGTCCTGGTAGTCGTGCTGGTTTTCGACCTTGATCTGTGTGGGAGGATGAAGGGTGAGTGTCACCCACCCGGCATTCACTAGCGACCTGCCCCAGGACCCAGTGTTCCATGTACAGAGACCTTGTGGAGGCCACCCGCCTAGCACAGGGGCCAGTCACTCCTCTGCTGACGGTACAAGCTCGGGAGAGGA